GACCAAAAGGCGACAGAGTGAGAGATTCAGTTCACTTCAGTCAGCCCGTCCGTCGGCTCATCGGCCGATCTCTCTCCCTTCAGCACACATCATCGCCGTCAGCGCGTCGAAGCCATCAGAGAGCCACTCAGACAGACACACGTGCACACACTGAGGACACACAGACAGACAGACATCTGTGTGTGTGAGTCCTGCCTTTGTCCCAATGTGTGTGTGTGCCCATCTCTCTCGGCGTACCAGTTGGTCGAGTGCAGTGTCGTCGCCAAGCACCGCCACACGACATCTGCAGCACACCACACACACAGACAGATGACAACCACCACCGCCCGTCATCACAGCGCCATGCATCACCTCGGCGTGTCACTCACCAGTCATGTGCATCAATCGCCCCGTGTGTGTGTGTGTCGGTACGAGCGCCCGAGAACAGAGAACCGAGAACCGAGGGAGGGAGGGATGGAGGGAGGGCAGATGACAGATCTCGTGCAGGCCGTCACGGAGGGCTGACAACGGGCCGACAAGGGGCGGGGCAGGGCGACCAGAGGGTTTGAGGGGTCAAGGGTAGGCTCGCATGAAAGGAGGCCCCAGCCTTTGCCGCATTCTTTTCGCCTGTTTGTCTCTTCTGCCGTGTCAATGGTCTCACTGCGGAGCGGTCAATGCGATGAAAGGAGAAAACGAATTGCGTAAGTCGGTGATCGAGTGAGGATCGAATTGCCCTGTTTCTCGAAGCTCACACATTCGTTTGGCCGTTTCGGTGCACGAGATTGTCCAGTGAGAGTCCAGAGGACCAGTGTGAGAGAATGGAGGGCTGAGAGAGGAAAAGCTTGTTCCTCCAGCTCGCACCGCCCTCTTCCCGAGTTTGGAGGATGCTCATAGGGCGGCCAATCCGGACATAGGTGGGAAGAGAGAGCCAATCGAAAGTCAATAGGACACAATCACGCCTCTGTTCTCTTCTATTTGCTCGTCTGTTTGCAGTCATCCACCACGGCTGTGAGGGCCGTGATGAGTAGGCTACTGTCTTGGAAATGGCGCGTCAGCATTGCGAGTGGGTGCCCAAAGTCTGACGCCTCAAGGCATTCTGCTGATGAGATGATTCCTGCTGACGTCCTGGGCCGAGTGTTCGCGTCCTTTCTGTCTGTCGACGATGCGCTGAGGGCCCGGGCGGTCGGCAAGACATACGGCGCTCTGCTCATCGATGAGGCCTTCCTGATGCGCCGCATCGCCAGCTCCCTCGCCCAGCAGCAGCTTACCGGCCTAATCGAGGTGGACGGAGAGGGCGGCATTGAGGCCTCGTCGGCCCTCTCGCGATTTGGGTACCTGGCTCGCTGTGCCTATGTCATCGAACAGACTGCCAGATGGCCGATGATGGCCACACTCATCAAGGCGGCGAGTGCGTGCGGTCTGGCGGGCCAGATGCCTTTGGTGCTGTCCGCCGAGTGGCTGCCGGGCGTCCTGCCCGACAAGGCCAGCTTCCATCGGCTGCCTATTGCGATGGCCCTCTACAAGACACTGGGCCATCCGCTTGGCCGCACTGCCCGCTCCAACAACCTGGCAGAGCGGCTTCGGCTGACGGAGGTTTATCACAAGAAGGATATCCTTATCGCCCGCTTGCTGCTTGTGGCATCCTACATCGTCTTCCTCCTCTTGCTCGTGGCGATCGGTTATATCTGCGTCAAGCTGCTGATGCCGTTAACGTGTCGCGTCTGGGATTTGCTTGAGGAGGTGAATCAGGTGGTGGATGAGCTGTTGGATCCCCCGCTCGAGCGCTCCTTGGTATGTCGGTACACCATTGACGCCATTCCTATCGTAATGAGTTACGGGGTGGTACTGCTCATGGTGGTCCTCCTAACAGCGACTTACGTGGTGGCACTGCCCATGGAGGTCCACTTAACACTCGCAGCCATGCATGCCAGCTACGCAGCAGGACTGGTGCGGCAAAAGCTCGTCCAGTACTACCGCATCGGCGGGAGAACGTTTCGCGTCATCGGTCAGCGCGAGGAATCCTGCCGCGGCCAATGGAGGTATTCCGAGAGCGACCCGCCCGTCAACTCAAATGGCCGCATTTATCGCTCATTCAGCGCACTCGCCCTTGACGCACTGTGGGAAGCCACATCTTTCAGCCACACGACGGTGCTCGAGGCCGAAGTGGGCCAAGGCCATGGCGGCTATCGGCGATTATTGTGTGATCCCTTGACGAGCGGCCAACTCGATTTGTCGGTCATCGATTGGCGAGCGGCACACATGGGGACAGCCCGGGTGGTGGTGCTGCTGGTCGGTGGCCTCTCTGTGGTGGCCTCCGTATCGCTCTTTGGCGGGCGCGTCATGATCAAGACGACTGAGAGGAAGGCGGTGGGCGGCTCGTCTGTCGATGAGCGGTTCCCTCTCACGATGGCTGCCGTGCGGCAGCTTCTGAGGCGATTTGGACTTGAAGACAACACGGTCGGCCCGCTGCAACCTTGACTGACCGTCAGTTGTGTGGGGGAATGAGAGAGAGGGGGCGAGAGAGGGGGCTGCTCGGTGTGCTGGGGGTGCTGTCACGTCTAAATTGACGGATTGCGACTGCAGGAATGTGTGATGGACCTTCCATATTGGCCAAGAAATGCATTGCGATGCATTGATGGATAAAAGGGGTATGCACACCCTCTTGCTGTCCGTCCATCCATCCACTTTCCTCACATTACATATTTACACGCCCGACACCATCACAGGCAGTTTGCACATAAGAAAACGCACGAACGTGTGGAGCCGTCAGTGACGCATAGAGAAGCGAATGATCATACCTTCGATGCATCCCCTTCCCTCTCTCATTCCCCACACGCCTATATATGTCACCTACTGCCCGGCCGCCACATGCAGCACCTCGAGATCATCAGCCATGAACTCTACCGACACGCCCAGATAACCATGGCCAAAGCCCGCAAGCGCATTGGGGCCGGGGTGGTTCTGACGGCAGCTGCGCATGTCGGCAGTCAGCTCTTCACTGCTATGGCCCAGCCACAGATACCCACCGATCCGCACCTTAGTGTCAGACACGATACAACACACCAGACAGAGACAGAGGGAAATCCATCCAACCATCTCACAGAGAGTGGGGGGCGGCACAGTCAACGTGTCAGATGTCCGCATGGCAGCAGAAAGCCAGCACACCGACACACACAGGCCGCACCAGACAACACGTATCCGTCCCACTCGCAAATGCCACTCACACAATACACAAAGTCTTTCTCCCATCGGCCGCCCACATCGGTCCAGCGGCGCGTGTGTGTCGATGTCTCTCTCTGTGCGCCTCTCTGTCACCGCCCGGCAACCCTAAAGCACCAACACCCTTCATGGGCTGACGCTCTCCAGTTGACGGACGGCAACCAAGATGCCCACAGAGAGGGAGGAGGACACACACGCAAAGAAAACCATACACAGCTGGCAAAACCAAAACGGTCTCTCTCTGAGTGTGTGTGCGTGTCGGCCTGTCCGTCTGTCTGTGAGCCGGCCGTGTGTGACGGATGCATCGACGAGAGATCAACACACTCTCGCGAGCATGCGTCAAACACGCGCAGCTCACAGACAGACGGCCACCGCCACCCCACACAGCGATTCCTTTGTGCAGCCAGCCAATCCTCCCTCCCTCCCTCCCTCCCTGTCTGTCTGTCTGTCTGTCTGTCTGTCTGTCATCTCTCCCCCGCCCCCCACTCATCAGCCGACACACTCATCGCAGCAGACGACCAGGACGACATGACAATGGCAGCCAGACCGACCGACACGCAAAGCCCCACAACACAACACAGTGAGATCGACGCACATACGACCAAAAGGCGACATACTGAGAGATTCAGTTCAGTTCAGTCAGCCCGTCCGTCGGCTCATCGGCCGATCTCTCTCCCTTCAGCACACATCATCGCCGTCAGCCACCTGCATCCGTTCAGATGACACACGCCACACAGAGAGGAGACATCTGTGCGTGTGAGTCCCGCCTGTCCCGCTGTGTGCCCATCTGTCTCGGCGTACCAGTTGTTGGAGTGCCCTCACTCCTTTGTCACACCGCTGCACCTCTCACACCACACGACGTCTGCAGCACCCCACACACAGATCCAGGCACCAACCGTCCAGACAGCACATGCATCATTTCGGCGTGTCACGCGCCCGCCGTGTGCATGACGTCCGCCTTGATTACGCACCTGCCTGTGCCGCCAGCAGCCGCCTGTGTGCCGACAGAGAGAGGGGACAGCTGACAGATCTCGTGCAGTGGGCCGTGAGCAAGGCTGACAAGGAGCCAATTGGCAGACCCGCGCGGTGGGGTGGGGCGCTGAAGAGGGTGACAGGGTAGGGTTTAAACCCTGAACCCTACGAGGTTTCATCTTGCAGCGCTCCTGTGCCTTTCGGACAGCTGTGCGTTGGGAGTGTGAGGCATTCGGCCGAGAGAGCGGCTTAGCGAATCAGTGGAGTCATCCGTCACACCGTCGCCCTGTCGACTGGTGTGGTGGGATGGCGGGCCGCTGAGCTGACAGAAAGAGTGAGGGCTGCAGTGAGGCCCACAGACACTCTCGGCCGCACACATTGGCTCTGCAATGACTGCAGATCTGAGGCGACCGGTGGATGGGCGCAGTGAGGCGATAGCATAGACACTGAGGGCACATCAGCTGCAGGTGAGATGATTCAATGGACTCATCCATCTATTCATCTCAATGCCTCTGTGTGTGTGTTTGGTTCGTGCAGCTTGGTTGCCGCATCACAATGGCGGCCTCTGCTGGTGCTGGTGGTGGTGGTGGTGTTAGTATCATAATGCCCAAGTGCAGTGTGTGTGATGACGACTACCAATCGCATGGCGACAAGGCGCCCGACCAGCTCAGATGCGGTGAGCAATGCACACACACGGCACACAAGGCCAACAGGATGATGATCAGTGTGGCTCTGTCTGGTGTGTTTGGCGGTTTCTGTTTGCTTAGGTCATTCCTTCTGTGCGGCGGTGAGTGAGTGGGCACTGGAGAGGGTGTTGGTGACAATGGCATGCCATGTGTTTGTCTGCAGTGCGTCAGAGGGCTCATCCGCCATCACCCCTACGGCCGTCGTGCTGCCAAGTGCGCCATCTGCAGGTAAACTAAGACATCAAGGCGACACACATATGGGTCGTTCGACGTGCCCCCCTCCCTTCGTGTGTGCGTTGTCTTGATCAGGGCGGCGACTGCGGAGGTCGACGTCCGTCCCAACCACGGCATGAGAGAGGCCATGGCGTCGCTGCTGGCGATTCGCATGCAGACGGTGCGAACAATCTGACAGACGCCATGACTTCGGCAGCCATCGTCGCATATGTGTGTGTGTGGCTGGTCAGGTGAGTCTGCCGGAGGGCACTTCACTGACTCGACAGGAGTACTACGGCCTTCTGGGACTGCTGGGCGACCACAGCATGAAGCTTCAGTCCATCTACCGGTATGTATGCAGCCGACACGCACACTCACACACACTCACACTATCCATCCATGTGACAATGATGGTGAATTCGGTTTTCTTTTTTTTTTGTCTCTGTGTGTGTGTGTGTGTGCATCAGGGCGTCGCGTGACGGCACCACCTACGACGATTTGCTGCGTTGTGTTTGCGACAAGACCGGCCTGGCCTTCATCATCCGGAAGGGCGAGTACGTTTTCGGCGCCTTCATCAGTGCCGGCATCCGACTGCCTGACGACCCGACCGACACCAACCGGTACGACTGTGACGTCTGGCATTTCTCGCTGGCCGGCCACTTCGCCCAGCCCACCAAGATAGAGATCAGCCGATTGGCGCAGTATGTGGCGGTGGCGGGGAGGGAGGGTCGTGTGTGGGGTGCGAAGGTGTGGATCGGTGGGGACCTGTGGTTGGGTGACGGCCGTGGCAGTGGTCGGCCGGCTGCCGACATCCGCAGCTGCTACCAGTCCACCGACAGGAACGAGGTGCCTGAGGGCTATGTGGGGGCGAGGAATAGCTATGGCAGTGCTCTGCTGGGCGGGTCATTCTTCTTCGATGCGGATGAGATAGAGGTGCTGCACGTGGGCGGGCAGTGAGTGTCTGTTTGGGGTGCATTTGCTTCTCGACGTGGGCGGGGCATGAGGGCGGTGTGTCAGTGACAGAGGGAGGGGGAGGATGTGTGTGTGTGTGAGGTGTCTGTCATGGGATTGCTCTCTTCTCCCCATCCCACGCTGCACAGACATTCCTATGGACAGGAGGGCTCTTCGGATATGTGTGTGTGTATGTGCCGCCCGAGCTGTCTGTGTGCACAGCTTATTATATATATATTCATCCCATCGCTTCTGAGACCCAAAGAGACTGACTTACTGATGTGATCGACTCAATTCACCTGTGGCATCTGTCGTGTTGATCTCTGTGTGTGTGTCTCCAGCTAATGGCCACGGCCCACTCTCTGACTCCGTGTCCGTATGCCCCACACACACAAACAGACAGAAACAATCGACACAGACACACCAAAAAGAACCCAAACCACACACACACGACCAGCCGAGCAGAGCGCACAGACAGACAACCATTGGATGTCTCTCTGTGTCTCTCACTCAGAGCAGAGACCCACATAAGATCGTTCCCCTGTCTGTCATAGATATCATTTCTCAGCCGGCGATCGGCTTGGGCACTGATGTGAGGCCGATGCAGTGCACTGGGGCCGCCTTAGCTATGGCGCCGCTGGACGGCCGGATGGGCTAAATTGTGGGCGTCAGTCAGGTGAGCGCATTGACTGTCATAATGACTTGGCCGGCAATGGCATAGTCTGCACACCGACGAGTGGCCTGGCCACTCCTCTGTGTGAGTGTGTGTGTCTGTCTGTCAGCTGCTCGATGGCCACCGCACACAGAGAGTGACGATCAACACTCACTGTGTAAGTTGACAATCGAGCGCACGAGAGACAGCACACAAACACACGAGTATCACACCACAGCAGAACCAAACCGTCGTCTCACCTGTTTGGCTGTGTCCTCACTGTCCACACCAGTCAGCACCCCCCAATGCAGCGGACATGTCAGCCACTCAGTCAATCAGATGCCACACATACACAACCAGGAAAGTGAGTGTCACACAAACCATCAGCAGTGAGTGAGTGAGTGAGTGTATTCTTATACCAGGCAGACAGATAGACAGACAGAGGGAAGGAATCCACCCACCCAAGCGACACATATCAGCAGCTGCCGGCCAGCCAGGCGGAATACACAGAAAGCAGCTCGTTGTTCCTTTCCCTTCGTGTGTTTGTCTCTGTCAGTCGGCCGCTCGATGGCCACCGCACACAGAGAGCGATGCTAAACACTCAATGCATTGTGACGTGACCAGGCACGGTGACAGTCAGCACACCAACACACGCAGGCACGACAGACGCTTGTGTCGGTCAACGGGCCACAAGAAGAGGCGTACGTGCGTGCAATGCAGACAGACAGACATCCATCCACTCATTCATGTATGTGTGTGTGCGCGGATCGACAAATGGAATGAACAGCCACACACACACTCACAGGCGAGTGCATCAGACACACAGACAGATAAAGGAAGAAACAGATCTCTCTCTTTCCCATCCACAATGAGGCATCCAGGCAGATGTGGGAGCAACACAATACAGTCGACACAACACACCAAAAGCAGGCGCTGTTCCTTTCTGTGTGTGTGTGGTGTCTGTATGTCTGTCTGTCGGCCGGCCAAGGGCCACCACACACAGAGCGATGATCAGCAGTCACTGTGTGAGATGACTAAGAAGCACTCGACAGTCAGCACACCGACACACACAGGCAGCATCAAACAAGCGTGTTGATCCCATCTCTCTCTCTCTCTCTCTGTGTATGTGTGTGTGTGTGTCCATCTCATTCCCTCGCCCCCCCCTCTGGCGCATCTCTGTCACCGCCCGGCAACCCTAAAGCGCCAACACCCTTCACGGGCTGACGCTCTTGGGTACACGGACGGTCATACAGATGCCCACAGAGGGAGGGAGGCGGACACACACAAGGGGAAACCGAAACTCTCTCTCTCTCTCTCAGCCAGACAGACTATCTCTGTGTGTGTGTGTCGGTCTGGCTGTCTGTGAGCCGGCCATGTGTGACGGATGCATCGACGAGAGACCAACACACTCTCGCCAGCAGCCGTGACACCTCGGCGACATACAGACAGACGGCCACCGCCACCCCACACAGCGATTCCTTTGTGCAGCCAGCCAGCCAATCCTCCCTCTCTGTCTGTCTGTCTGTCTGTCATCTCTCCCCCGCCCCCCACTCATCAGCCGACACACTCATCGCAGCAGACGGCCGACGAGTTTGAGATCGAGAAGCTATGACGATGGCAGCCAGACCGACCGACACGCAAAGCGCCACAACACAACACAGTGAGATCGACGCACATACGACCAAAAGGCGACATAGTGAGGGATTCAGTTCAGTTCAGTCAGCCCGTCCGTCGGCTCATCGGCCGATCTCTCTCCCTTCAGCACACATCATCGCCATCAGCGCGTCGGAGCCATCAGAGAGCCACTCAGACAGCCACACACTGAGGACAGACTGAGGACACACAGACAGACAGACAGACAGACAGACAGACATCTGTGTGTGTGAGTCCTGCCTGTGTCCCAATGTGTGTGTGTGCCCATCTCCCTCTGCGTACCAGTTCGTCGAGTGCAGTGTTGTCGCCAAGCACCGCCGCCCCGCACCGCCACACGACATCTGCAGCACACCACACACACAGACAGATGACAACCACCACCACCCGTCATCACAGCGCCATGCATCACCTCGGCGTGTCACGCACAGTCCCGTGTGTGTCGTGCGAGCGCACGAGAACCGAGGGAGGGAGAGAGAGAGGGAGAGAGGAAGGGGTGAGGGCAGATGAAAGATCTCGTGCAGTGGGCCGTCAGGAGGCCGACAAGGGGCGGGGCGGGGCGGCCAGAGGGTTTGAGGGGTCAAGGGTAGGGTTTCAAACCTAACCCCACGGGCGCCAGCTCGCATGAAAGGCCCCCACCAGACCCCCAGCCTTTGCCGCATTCTTTTCGCCTGTTTGTCTCGCCTGTCGTCAATGGTCTCACTGCGGAGCGGTTAATGTGATGAAATAAGAGAACGAATTTGTGGAAGTCGGTGATCGAGTGAGGATCGAATTGCCGTTTTTCTCGAAGCTCACACATTCGTTTGGCCATTTCGGTGCAGAGATTGTCCAGTGAGAGTCGAGAGGGGAGTGAGAGAATGGAGGGCTGAGAGAGGAAAAGCTTGTTCCTCCAGCTCGCACCGCCCTTCGGGGTTCACGCATTGCCGAAACATTCGGTTTCTTACTTTTTTTCGGACACGCCTGCCCTTTAGGCAGGCAGGCACTTCCTTTTCCCTAGCTGGCTTGTCGCTCACGCGTGCGCTCACATCCAAGATGCACGTGTCAAGGCACAAGAGAGATCCGGCTGTGTGTTGCTGCAGCACATTCACTCGCTGACCCCGAGTCGTGACCGAGTCATGTCCTATCGGCTCCCGGACACTTATACACTCCCTGACGACGTCTGTCCTATTTGCTGCGAGCGCCTGGCGGAAGTGGTTGACGTCGCGAGGCTTGGATGTGGCCATTTCTTCTGCTTCCAGGTGGGTGCGTCCGTGTGTGGCTGATTGGAGATGATTGACTCATGGGGACACGCTTGCTTTGCTTGTTGCGCTGTGCCGGCCGTCCTGCCTGGCTGCAGTGTCTGAAGGATGAGGGGTCGGCGACACTAGAAGAACTTGGCAGATAGGAGATCCACTTTGGTTCAAGTTTGTCTTTTGTGTCTTCTGCAGGGCCTCGTTCTATGCTGATTCTGATGAGCGGCCGACCGGCACACGCACACTCCTTAAGCTCTTCCCCTGCCCTACCTGTCGCCTAGTAAGTCACCAAGACAAACCAAGACACACGCCAAGGGCCACCGACTGGTGTGTCTGCACTGATCAGGGTTGCCACTTGGTTGAGCGCATCAAGAGGCGATCAGAGCCCTCTGAGCTGGTGACCGATCCCCTCGACGGACCGTGGCGTGAGGTGACCGTCACGCAGGCTGGCGATATCGGGGATGAGACTTGGCTGGCCACCTACTACAGTCCCCACGCTTTCTGGGACGACTTCATGGGCCTGAACAACACGAGATGCGTCGACGTGCTTCAGGAGAGACTGGTGTGGTTTCAGCGCATTGCTGTGGTAACTCGGCGGGACCTGGCTGAATCGTGGGAGAAGATGGCTGTGACTGGTATGCGCAAGTGGACCCAACTGAAGATACGCAGCACTGCCGACCAGAGGAGGGAGGCCGTGGCGGACTTTTTCAAGTGGGATGTGGGTGCTGAGACAATGAGGGCAGACCTGCGCCATATTGAAGCCGGGCTGTCTGCCTGTCGGGAGCGGATCAGACGGCTGAGCGGCAGCAAGGACAGGTACTCAACTGACGTGTCGATATGTCACTTTGCAGCTCCATATGCCTCTGTAGGTCTGGTGAGTCTGCGGAGCCGTTCAGTGTTGGCGATGAGGTGTGGGTGTGTGGTTTGGCGAAGCGGCCAGAGTATAATGGGCTTCCTGGTTCTGTCGAGGAGGTCCTTCCGCCCCGCACCCAAGACAACAAGACGGACGTCACTCGGTCAGTGAGGTGCAGGGGAAAGCATGAAGGAGACTAAATGTTGGGTGTGTGTTTCTCCGTTCCTCCATCCCTATGCTCTGCGTGTGTGGGAATGCAGGTACAAGGTGGCATTGTCTGTAGGCGGCATCGTGTTGTCGTTGCGGAAAGAGAACATCCATATCGTCGACTTCAAGATGAGTGCTTCCGAGCTCGACCAACTAAGGGACTTCATGGGCACTTTGAAGCTCGACCCAACCTCCAGCCCGCCAGCTGATCCTGACAATTCCCTTGGTCGTCGGACCCAGCAAAGCGATGACCGTAGCGTCCCCTCAAGCCGTCCTGTTCGCACATTTGTACCCTTTTGGTATCGGTCAGCCGTCGGGCGTCAAACAACAGCTGACCTCAACCAACAATGTCAAGCACGTGCTCAACCGACTCGACAAGAGGACGATCTGCCCAGCCACCAAGCCACACGTCCAGAAGCCACCGATGACCCCGCCCGCCGACAGACGAGCGTGACTGACTTGATGTCTGGTCTGGAGGCAGCGTCTCTGCCGGAAAGGGGCCGGACGTGGATGAAGACATGTGTGGTTTGGGTCGTGTCTCGATACTTGGAAGTGTGTGTCCTGGTGATTACGTGTACCATGCTCTTTTTCGCAACACATCTGTGGTACGTATTCTGTGGAGTGAGTGACTCTTTTTGAGATGGAGGGATGCGCTTGACGAGCGGGTCGGATTTGTTGTTCGAGTGGGTGGATGGATGGATGGATGGCTGGTCGTCAAGTAGACGGGAGGGAGGATAGATCTGTCGACTTGACTTCCGTGAGAAGGCACTATGTCTGTGGGGGCAAAGGCTCAGCTCAGCTGTCTCTTCATGTCTGTGCCATCAATGACAGAGTCACCCTGACATGTGATACGTACATGGACATCAATCGACGCAGATCGGTGAAATGAGCCATCCATCAGTGCAAATCGGTGACAGTTTCACTGCATGCCGTGTCTTGTCACTGTCTTGTCCTTCGGAAGCTTAGTGAGTGGAGGGCAGGGAGGGAATCCGGGAGGGAGGGAGAGAGGGGGGTATTTCTGGTTGGTTAGGTAGGTGTAGCGCCAAATGCAAGGTGGACAGCGAGACGGAATGACCCGAGCCATCTGTCTGAACGGAATGACTGACAGGCTGACTGCCTGGCTGACGTACCGTGTGTCATGGTGTGCTGCGGTGTGCTGTGGCTGGTGTGTGGCGGATGGAGCTCTCATGACATGACAATTGTGTGTCGAGATGGATGTGCGTCGTGTCATGGCCCTGGTGCGGTTGATGGACTGACTGACCTCTGCCTCGTCCGTCCAGGCTCGGCGATTACACAAAAACGCGTCCGCTGCACTCAGTATAAATCGCAGTCAGTCCACTCGATCACACGAACACAACACAACACACAGATCACCCCCTACGAACATACAACGCCTCAGTGGGATCTTGCCCCCCGCCGCTATGCAAGTGCGCTACACAGAACTGCCGCGTCAGCCATCCATCCATCCATCCATCCACACAGACACGCATAGGAATTGACCTAGGCACTTCACCCGACAGCCATCTGCACAACCAATTGATTAATTAACACGCAGACAGACACCCCATGGAAACGTGCAAAGATGAACATGGTGCCATGCAAAGGACGGAGCTACCGGCTCACAGACAGGTGTGGAATGTCTGTCTGTCTGTCTGTCTCTCTGTGCTCTCAAGGGGACAGAGAGAAGAGAAGAGCATTAATAGGTGTGTGGATGAGTGTGGACTGACGATGGGGTGTGAAAACCGGCCATGGACACCTAAAATGTGGGGAAGAGAGATACAGAGGGCAGCCAGAGGGACGACGGCCACACACACACACACACACACTCATGGATGTTATGTACAGGTGAGCACGTGTGTGTGTATATGGGTCTGTGGCTGGGGAGATGGCTGTCGGCAAAATCGCCGCTACGCCCCACCTGTGTATATCTGTGTGGGCGGCACATAAGAGAGGGACAGAAAAGAGACGAGAGCGAGAGTAAGTCAGCCGGCCAGGAGACACAGATCACCGAGTTCCCTCCCTCTTTTCCTCCCTCTATGAACACACACAGTCGAGCCGCCGTTTCAGCCGACTGACTCTCACATGCCATCCATGCCCCCCACGCAATTGTCGTGCGATTCTCTCTGTACACCACACGCCGCGTGGCTTGTGTGTGCTGTGTGCAGACGATGGGAGCCGTAGAGATAGAGAGACGTAGAGACCGGTGAGTCTCTATCTCTATCTCTATCTCTGCGGCTCCCATCCTCTGCACACAAAGAACACACAGAAAGGCCTTCTCGGGCGCCAGGAACTGTTTCTCTCACTCAATGCTGTCTGTCTGTGTTTGCGCTCTGAGTCTGTCTGTCTGTCTGTCTGTTTGGGCGCCGAGGGCATCGGCACCTACTGCCCTCTCACTTCAATGAACTTGAACCTAACGACACACAACCAGAGCCCTCGGACTGCACCACCCCCATCCCATCAATCCACCACGGTGGCTCGCTGCACCTACCCGTTGCGCAGGTGTTGCTTCAGCACTCTCTTGCACGCATCAGCATGAAGCAGCTTCCAGTCGTTGGTATCCATCGGGAATGTGTTGCCGCTCTTGGGGGCGATGAGTGTGTCGTCGAGGTCGAGCCCAAACACCTTGTCCGATCCCGTCGAGCCATAGTCCCTCCAGTAGACGCTATCATCTCGCTGCTCAACCAAGCGGCACACACACAGACAGACACACACCAAGAACCGCGGGATAGATGGTCCATGTTGTTTGGCGCGTGTCTGCGCGTCCGTCCTACCGAGCGCCATTCTGTGCTGGGCTTGCTCTTCTTGGCAGCAGGGCGGCCGTCAGGACCCTGATCTAGACAACGCCTGCTCATGCTCGGCAAACAACGGTCTGCCGCTCGGAGAAAGAACAGACAGATTGCCTCCGTGCGTGGCAGAAGTCATCGCTCGCTCACCTTCTGGCCGTGCCGATGGATCTGATGCGCTTGAGGGAACACGGCTGTGCTGCAAACCAACGAGATCTCGTCCAGAAGGTAGTTAGAGGTCCGCTGAGTCAGGGGCGCGTGAAACCATGCCGGGGAACCACTCCCCGGCCCAGCTTCATCCACTTCCCCCGCCCGGTGCCGTGCTGTCGCATTCCTGGGCGGAGAGAAGAGAAAGGGTGAGCCCCGCGCACAGAGGGAGGAGTTGCGAGCTGGGATGATGGAGATGGATAGGAGAAGGGAACTGCCTCATTCCAAGCCCATTCTCGATGACTGAAGGCGGCACAGGGCCGTGGGAAGGATGTTGCGGCCCTGAGGATGGTGCGCGCAAATGGCATACACGACTGAGGAGCTACGCAGCACCGCAGAGCTCGGCAGATAGGGCTCATCGGCGCACTCGTGCTGCAGCGTCGTAAGGTGGTCTTGCGGACCAACGAAAACCGTCATCACATGAAAGGTATGCAAACAAACAATATGGCAGAGAGTCCCTGCGTCGCTGCTCCATGATCTCTCTCATGCGTGAATGTTGCATCGTGTTTGCAGCGCCACTCGGGAGTCGCTGATCGAAGGCCTGCTCGCCAACGAGCCTCTGCTCACGGCCCTGCTCAGCCAAAGCCATGCCATCCCAAAGCAGGCCGAGCGCCCCATCGAGAGGCTCATCCACGCCCTCCTGTGTAGCCCGTCGTCTATCGGCCGCCTGAAGGCCCTCCTCATTCGCAAGCTGCAGGCGCCGGCACCACCATCGGCGGCCCTCTTCCCGCTCAGCCGTGAGGTGCGTCGACAGCGGTGCCTGCAGCTGCTGGCATGGCTCGAGAGGGGCACATCGAAGGACGCTTGTGATGGTGGCCATGGTGGCCATCGTTCTGATGAACCATCACCGGTCGTGCAGCAGCATCAGCAGGCTAGGGATGGTGATGATAGCACTGGTTTGGTGGAGGATGGCGACTCGATGGAGGGCGGGGATGGCTGTGCAGTTGTCGCCGATCGAGACGGAGAAGATGCAAGGGCAGCGTACAGCAAACAGGTAGGTGGGTCATTCGTTGATCAAACAGACAATGAATGTCTGGCCGTACACGTGTGAGTGAATGTGTGTGTGCGTGGTCCAGTTGTCGTTCAGCTCGTGGAGAGGCTCATCCTGCAGAAGGAAAGGTGGAAGCACGCACCCACCAGTCAGCCAATCGCCCAACCAGGGTGTCGACTCTTGTCTCTTGGCTCTTGTCCACCTGCTATGGATGCTTGCAGACAGAGGGAGGCAGCTCTCCACCTCATACAAAGGTCCACAAGACACACACAGACGACGACAGACAGACCCTTACGCCACATGTGCGTGTATGCTTCTCTCCCTCTCCGTCTGTCTGTCTGGCCATAGACGTCAGCACCGGCTGCTCCGCACCGCTCTGCAAAGGCTGAGACCACACACAGATGGTGCCCACAACACACCAGGTGAGTAACTGAGGACAGAACGACAGAAAATCTACCGGGATGAGGTGTTGGGTTGTTGTACTGTCAGATGGTGCTGCATCTGGCGGTGGCCGTGAGGGCGATCGTTGCGATAGTGTTGGTCGGCAGCATCAGCATCCAAGCTGCAGCACCAGGCTTTGGGTGTGTGGGACCGGCACACCGTCGCCAGGTCGCTGGTGCGCAAGAACATGCTGCTGGCAGCCAAGTGAGCACTCTCTCTCCCTCGCACCAACCAAGGCACGCCCCGCTTTTCGCCCTCATTGCGTCTTGTCTTGATTGTGGTGCAGCTATGCGGCACTGCGTGCGTGCGAAAAGGCAATAGGCAAGTGGCGACACTATGCTGGTACGGAGGAGGAGACAGGAGCGGAACAACAGCCCATATGGTCGCTGTGTGCGTGGGGGGGGTGGATGGACGGACGGACGGACGGACGAATGCAATGCAGAGCAGCAGTGGCGTTGGCATCAGATCGATCGCATGACCTCCTCTTTCTCCCACGAGCGGGCACTAGATCGCTCCATGGCGAGGTGGAAGGCCTACTGCTCCGGGCGGAGGCGACACGCCGCTGGCTGTGGGCTCGCCAACAGCCACTATAGGTGCGCTGCCATGCCTGTCATGGGTCATCGTCGCGTGTCTGCATTGCATGTGTGTGGGGTTGTCGTTGGTGTGTGCTGTGCAGCAACAGACTGATGAAGCGTGCGTTTCGAAGCCTTGTCCGCTACACGAGTAAGTGCACACTGCACCTGTCCGTCCAGCAATCGAATGATTTGCCGTGTCATATGGACACCCAGGGGTGCGGCGGATCAAGAACAGGCGGAACGCATTCGCCTTCTCCCGCTGGAAGGTATGCCGGCAGGCAGGCAGACCCGCAGACAGGAAGACTGACAAACCACAAGTCCATTGCTCGATGACTCCAGTGTGTTCTTCCCTCTGCGCCCCTTCAGCGGTGTCTGTTGTCGCGGACGGTGGCCTCGTGGCACGCCGCGGCCCTGCTATCGGTAGCCAAAGTGAGAGTCATGGCCGACACACTCACAGGTAGACCACCAAACACACAAACAAACAAACAGCACGGGCATCTCCGTGATCGTGATACGATGCCTTGTTTCCTTCTTTGGGATCAGCTGTGTATTGGCACTGCGTGGAGTCGGCCTTCGATCGGCTGGCACTGGCCAGACCCAAGCCACCCCCACCCCCACTCCATGAGCATGTCGGGAAGCCCCCGCTGCCCCCCATGAGGCTGCCACTGCACCTGGTCAACAGGTCATCCCGCCCCCAGGAGATGAGTGCCCGTGGACTGGATGAGGAGCGGCCGAGGAGATGGGAGTCGCAGCTGAGGGGGCGGGGCAGTGCCGTGACGACCCCACGCGAGAGGGGATGCTCCACCTTGCCAGCTGAACCAAGGTGAGCAGACATGAAATCCAATGATCGAGTGGTGCATTGTGGGTGCTCGGTTTGTCCCTTGTTCCGTTGCCGCTTGCAGAGGTCTGTCATGGCGCAGGCTGGCGAAGGACGCCAGGGACTCGTCTCGGTCGATACCGACCCCCCGCTGCAACCCGCCGTCTCCCAAATCTCCCACTCCATCTGCCCCTCCCCCCCTCTCGTATCGGCCACCCTCATCCCGCCCCCCAGCACACAGGAGAAGACCGCCCCTGCCCCCACCACCCCCAGCCCGGCCACACGAGCCTCCCCACATAGCGCCGTCGACCGAGACGTTGCGGCGGCTGAATGAGTTTCTCAAGGGCGTTCACAGGAAATGTGAAGAGATCATTGATCAAGGTGGAGGTGATGTGGCGGCGAATGAGGAGAGGTCGGCGTATGCATCGTTTGTGCGTGAGCTGCGAGTGAGGAAGGGGAGGGCACAGATGAGGAAGCAAGGGAGGGTGGGCGGCGGGCGGAGGATGCCGTGAGCGAGTGGTGACTGACTGGTGTCTGAGGGGTCTGCCTTGCCTGTTGTGTTGTGGTGTGGTGTGAGTTGTGTGGGGTGAATGTGTATGTGCATACAGACAGGCGCATGCCAGGAGTTGGCTGGCATGGTTCGTATATACAATTCTGGGAGAACTGGGAGAAAAGAATAGGAAGGATGGGTTGGTTGCACACGGGAGGGGAGCGGCCCACCCAAACCTGGCCGCAAACGCGCAAATGTCAAAAGTTTCCCCCAGAGAGCTTGTTGCTTGTCGAGGGCAAAGGAGAAAGGGTGATGGGCCTCGTCCGTCGTTTGTGCGGTGAATCCGAGTCGACATGTCAAGAAAGCTCGCAGTCTCCCCCAAAGGCCCACAGGTTTCCCCTTCAAGAAGCAAGAGAAACACGATGATGAAGAACCTTGTGAAGAAGCCCTCTATGGGATTCGGGGGTGTTCCGCCAGAGGACCAGGCAAGCAATGACTGATAGCTGTCACACTGCCAGTCATTCACTCATTCACTCATTTTGTTGTCTTCGCTCCCCCTGCACTGACGCAGGAGCACGACAGCGATGACGAGCAGCAGCTGGGTGCCTTCTTGCCGCCCAGCGCTCATTACCAGCTCCACCAGGGAGAACAACAGGAGTTAGAGGAGCGACGCGCCCTCGCCCTTCGCCAGGAGCAGGAAAAGGCGTCACAAGAGGTGAGTGAGTGTGAGTGCAGCACAGCAGAGCAGACTTGCACGACATACACGAGAGAGAGTCGGGCAGGGCAGCAATCCAGCTAGGCCAGGCAGCCCGCAGTTGTGACTGAGTGAGGCAGGTAAGATCAGTGCATGTGGTGCGGTGCGGTGCGTGAATGAATGCAGGAGGCAGCGAGGATGAAGGACCGACAGGAGGCGACAGAGAAGCAGCTCAGGGCAGCACGGTACGGTCAGGCAACCACCTGGCAGCCGATAGAGAACCCACACAGTCACTCCACTCACTCATTCCATGTCTACCTCGTTGTGTGTGTCACCAGGTTGCACGAGCGGCATCTCAAGAGCAAGATCAGCCGCCAGGCTGAGGATATCCTCGACAAGACGACGGAGATAGACGAGCTACGCAAACGCGCCAACAAGAGAACAAGGTACCCAGCCCAGCCCCTCCCCCCCTCCCCCCCCGCCAACCCCACGCCAATCACCTGTTGCCTGTGTGTGTGCGCCTGTGGCCCACCTGCTGGTTTGGTGGCTTCAGCGATGATACGAGGCCGGGGCGGTTGGCAGGCGTTTTGATGGCCTCACCACACCGCCTGCAGCCACTCAGCGGTACGCATCGCGCTCTCACCGATTCTGTCACCTTTTATCTGACTGTCTGTGTGTTGGTCAATCAGATAGCCGGCACCGCCAGATGGACGACGTCAATGACAAGGAAGATTTCGAGGACGTAGGCACGGCACTCCACGGCAGGGCGCACACACACTTCCACTCTTACCGGCGTGTACGGTCAGGTGCATTTTCTCCCCCACCCTGTGCACCACAACCGCCACCAGCGGAGCCCCTCGCTGCCCCCGCCAGCCCTTCCCAAACTCAACCTCAAAGAGGTCCACGAGGTAGGCACACAGACCGGCACTCGTCCTCACATCCACACAGTCGTCAGTGTGTGTGTGTGTGTGTTGTGGTCTCAGGAACGTGATCGCAACTACCCGCCAGACCAAGTGGCAGCAGCCGCAGCCGCAGCGCCCGGTGTTGACGCTGCAGGCAAGGGAGGCAGCAGCAGTGCCAGCAGTGCGAGTGACGATGACGAGTGGTGCCGCGATATGGCCGCAGTGGCAGCCCCCACCACACACAAACGGCAGGACACGGACAGACAGGTGCGCGCCACACTGTGACGCACACACAGAACTGAGGGAAAGATATCGACTGCACCTCTCTCTCTCTCTCTCTGTGGGTATGTGTGGTGTGTTGTCTGCAGGAGAGCGATGACGATGATTTCGACGCAGACAACCGCCTCATGGGCGAGAGCACGGCGCGGTACTACATGAGGAAGTACGACGACGTCAAGAACCGATACGATGCCATCAAAGACATGTACCACCACCAAGAGAAGACGATAGCGGAGCTGAGGTCGCACCTTGCAGCTGCGGGTGATAACAAGGTCAGTGAGAGACTGAGTGAGGAACACATGTGTGTATAGGCGCACAAATGCACATCGGCGTGATGTGTTGTGCTGTGCTGTGTTGTGTGTAGACCAAGCTGCTGGCTGACAAGGATGCGGCGGCTGCCAAGGCGGCCGATGAGTGGTTCAAAATGGAGCACGTCCTCCGCACCACCATCGGCAAACAGCAGCGGGAGCTGGTCAGTGAGGGCCTACGTGTCCTCCACCAACAGAGGCCCACTGATGAAGGGTGTCTGATTGTGTGTCTGTATGCAGGACATGGTCAATGCAAAACTCCAGGAAGCCGAGAGAACCAAGGCCACTGATGCGGTTAGTCAGCACAGCCACACACCATCCAATCCAGTCACGGGCTCTCCTCCTCACTCCACTGATGTCAGGTACAGGAGCCGTCTGCTGGGGATCGCGTCGCCAAGGATCAGTACGACGAGTTGCAGGCCCGGCTGGACGAGCTTCAGGAGAAATACAGCCAGCTGATGGAAGAGGCGGTGAGGTAGCCACACAGAAGCACCCTTCCAATATTGGCACACTGATGCCTGTGGGGTCTTGTGTGTCATGGCTGCCTGCCTCACCCAGGAGCGTCTCAAGAAGGTCGCCGCCGCCAATGTGGACAAATTGGCTGTGGCTGGTGGGGAGACCGACGTGCCCACAGGTGAGGAGGGGAGGGAGGAGGTGGGCGACACGCACACGCACACCACACCGACAGAGAGACAGAGACAGATGTTCATTCCCTATGTGTGTGTGGGGGTGTGTGTGTGCATCTGTGTAGACGGTGATTTGGCGCGTCTTTTGTCCGGTTGCGATTTGCCGCCCGAGGTGACGGCCGCCGTCCACAGAGTTGACCAAACACTCGACGGAGAAGTGGTGAGATGGGGCGGGGCGTGGGCATACACACCACGAACTCACATCACCCTACAGTCGTCACACGGTCATTGTGGGGTGTGTTCCTCGTGTTGCCATTCCATCCATCCATCAGGTACGTGCGGACCGTTTGGCTCGCGAGGCCACGAGCCTGCGCAAGATGGCCGAGCAGAAGGAAGAAGTCAACGTGTAAGCTGACATCACAGCAAGCCAGATCACACATAACAACCTCTTCCACGCGCTCTTTGTGTTGTCTGGTGTGGTGTGTCGGTGTGCAGCACCGACGAGGCCAGGCAGGAGGCAATTCGCCACAGCCACGACGATGAACAGGACCGAAGGCTGCAGCAGGTGAGTCCGTCCGTCATATGCCGAGAAGACCACTTTCGTCACTTTCACTCTCCCCCTCCCTCCGTCCCCTATGTGTGTGTAGATTGCAAAGCTGCAGAGGGAGAGGGACGGTCTGCAGCGGGAGAAGGAACGGCTCGAACGTACGGAAGAGTACACAATGGACAATCGACGGATGGCATTCTGCCCACACACATTGTGTGTATCTGATGCGCGCACCGCACGGATGGATGGATGCAGAGGACAAGGCACAGTTGGTGAGTGTCCTTCGGGCGTACCAACAGCACCTCAAGGCTGCTGGCGGTGTCCCAGTGGCAGGGGCTGCCCGACTGCTCAGCCACAAATCGCAGATCCAGGTACGGTACGGTACGGTACGTGGGGCAGACAGACAGATATCATAAACACACGAGACACTCACTCACCCACCCATATGTGGGCGTGTATGGGTGCCCTCGGTGTTTCTGCATCCATCCACCAGGGCCGTGCCATGCGTGGGGGCGCCAGCAGAGGCGAAGGCCGGTGGCCATCGGCTGGCGTATCGCATTTTACTAACGGCAGGAGACAGCAGCAGGTGTGCAGGCAGAACTCACAAACATACACAAACAAAGACAGACCCCCGATCTCCCTGCCTGTCTGTGTGTATGTGTGTCTGTGTGTCTGTGTGTGTATGTCAGACACATTCGACTAGTGGTGGCCGCGGTGCGAGCATTGGGGCGGTCAAACTGGGGCACAAGGCCCCCCCTGCTGCTGCCATCTCCACTGGCCCTGGCGCCAGGGTGGCCTCACATGCAGACGTCGTCGGCGTCGACGGCCGCATCGCCACGCCCCCCACAGACGTCAGGGTACACGCCAGGAAACAGCGATCGGACACAGCTAGTGCAGGTGGTCGGCGAAAGTGGCCCTCGCCACCCCAGACGGCCAATGGTCCACCTGGTGGTGTTGAGAGAAGTCATGGCGGCGAGACTGCCGCAATGATCGGACCAGGGGTCGGCATCCGCACAGGAGGTGAGAGAGAGAGAGAGAGAGAGAGGGAGGGGGAGGGAGAGGGAGGAGGACCAACACGCGGTATGACACATATTCGTGTGTGTGTCACTCGTTGATTGATGTGTGCAGGCGGCAGCGGTGACCCTTTTGCTGCCCTGGCCGGCATGATAGGGGCATCCGGCACCAAAGCCCCCCGCCCCTTCACCGCCCTAACAGCATCGGACGCCCCCAAGACACTCGCAGTCACACAAGACCACCGTCAGAAGACCGCCCCAGCGCTCAAGAAAGCCGAGCAGCCGAGGCTGTCGATTGTCATGACCCGCATCGCTAACGAGCCGCCCTCATTTGACGTGGCCAAGACGCGCCTGCCGGTGGTGGGGGAGGGAGTGGTCGATACATCCGAGCGGCACACACCCAAGCAAGAAGAGCAGCCTGATGACCACCTGAAGAGCGCCCCGATGGTCAAGAAAGCCGAGCGGCCGAAGCTGTCTATTGTCATGACCCGCATCGCCAACGAGCCGCCCTCATTTGACGTGGCCAAGACGCGCCTGCCAGTGGTGGGAGAGGGAGTGGGCATCGACATAGAGGCCGACAGGGTGGGGGCTCGGCTGTGGAATGGCAAGGGCATCCCGCCTGTCGTCCACCACTCGTTTGCCGAGCACCACAGGCACCACCCCAAGTGCGGCCCGCTGACGCCCGCCAACGCACTCATTCTCAAGCTGCAACAGGCCCAGACTCAAGGGAAAGCGGACACCAACAAACGTAAGCACGCAATCGCAGCTAGAGGGAAAAACGCGGTATCGATGGATCCCATCTGTCTCTGTGGGTGTTGTGTGTGACAGGTGCTGTTGGTGTGATCATGAGCGGCCAGCCGCTGTCGCCGCCCCTTCTCCATGCCAAAGCCCATGCCGCATCGGCCACCATGCCGCGGCGCATCCCCGATCTCCGCCTCCCCGCCACCATCTCGGCACAGTCCCGTCAGCATGGCCATCGCCAGCAGCAGCAGCGATACATCCAACCACCCTTGCCGGAGCCGCCCCCTGCCATGGCCTTTGCACCTCCGCCGCCCTATGCGACGATCGGCCAGCCCTTGTTCTATGCGCTGCGCCACACCCACCTCACATCATGATGATGGCCACTCACAAGGGAAGCCCCACCGGTCGGTGAGTCGAGTCAAGTGGAGACCTCTAGGCGGCTGTAGGGTAGGCTGGCAGGGCCTGGGTAGGAGAGGACGCTGGCGGCTGTGATGAGTGGCGATTTATGGCGGTCGGTTGTTGTGTTGTGTTGATATGATACGTGAATGGCTGGTTGTGCGTATGTGGACCGCATGGATACGTTGATCGTGCATGGGCTGCATGACATGACGTTGTCCTTCGCCTGAGAGACTGAGAACGTTAGATCAAGATCGTATCGTCGCATTAATCCCTCCCTGTGTGTGAGAGGACCACTGGTGGCCGACACTTTGACATCTGTATACGTACAGCCATTTATGTATACGGACCATGCCAACCAACTCATTATTGCCCTGTGTCTGTCCGAATGCATGGGTGGGTGTCACTGATCATTATTGTGTGTGTATGAGTGTGTGAGTGTGTGGATGGACACACGGGTTACGGTTGAATGAGACAGAGGGACATCTTGATACCACGGGAATCAACACCAGCGTGAGAAATGTGAAACGCAGACATCCACACACGTGTAGCTATGCAGCAGGGTCAAGAGAGAGACGACGAGAGGCTATGTACACCGCACAAGGACCTGTAAACACACACACACACACAGAAGGCCGAGTGTTTCTCTAGGCAGACACAGCACAGCACACCAAACAGCAGCACCACCACATGGCGAAACACACACACACACCCATGTGCCCCCCCCCCCCCCCCCCCCCCCCCCCCCCTCC